GTTTGTGTGTTTTCTTGAATGTTTGTGACTGCTTCACCTTGGACTTGGAAATTTTCAGCATCTGCTAGCTGTGCTTCCTGAGATAAATCCTCTATCTTGTTTTCCCCAAAAACTATGTAAGTATCTGAAGACTCTTGTAGACATCTGGCTTTGTGAATGCAAAGAGGATCGTTTGACTTCTGGATAGTGAGATAGTGACTCTAGTAACCCCCGTGACTTGGCGAAGACCCAGTTTGGACATAGCCTTGTGTGCCTTATTTTCATTCAGATTCTGCTTGGCTTTATTGACTGGCTCCTCATCCATTTCAGCTGCTGCCGCCAGCTGGGTTTGTTGTGTGCTTGACTGTGTGGAACCTGTACCCCAAGCTCAGGTACTGATTCATCACTGTCTGATTCTGTTCCTGTGACAACTTCTGTTCCTGTGACAACTCCTGCTCTGTAGCAGGGATGATTTCTGTGATGGTCATTTTGTACAGGGAAAGTGGAACCAAGGTGGTGGCAGAAAGAGAGCGAGCAAGCGAGTGCATGACCCATGCCTGTTGCAGAAGGAACGGTTTTCTCTCTTTTGATGTGTATTTTAGACACCCTGTTTTGAACTCTGGAAAGATCATATTTCTTGTTTGCTTTTTCTAGTTGCTTTATTTCTAATGGCTAACCTTTCTTCAACGTTAAGTACTTCACTTTCTTTCAGCTGTGTTATCTTCAATTTACAATGACCTTATGTATTCATAAGGAGCCCTGGTGGTGTAGTGGTTACACGTTGGTCTGTGATCTGTATAGTCCACACTTAGTAACCACCAGCACTTCTGAGGAGAAAGACTGGGATTTCTACTCCTGTAAACAGTTACAATCTCAGAAACCCACAGGAGGTTACTTTTTGAGTCAGCATTGACTCAATGGCAGTAATAAGTTATCTTAATATTTCTGTATCTCTAGGTGCTAAGATCCATTGCAGTGGCTACCAGGAACTCACAGACTAAATTCATGATTAAAGGGTTTATTAAGAAGGTTGACAGGTTGTAATGCAAGTGAGAAATGCTCAGAATACAGGGCACGTTGGAAAGTTCTTTCCGGTTTGCTAATAAATGCTTCAACCCAAGGACAATCAGCTCAAGCTCTGTGGGTCAGCAAATTCAGTTCCCTGAATAAGTGCCCAGAGGGCACCCTACTCCAGTAAGCCTTAGCCCCAGATAGCCTAGCCTCAAGGCATTGAGCTTTACTTCTGTGGCTCAGCAAGCCCAGCTGTCCCCAGTTAAGTTCCCAGAGGCGCACTCTACTCCACAAGCCAGCCTCTTCCCCCAATGGGCTGGGAAGTCCACTGTTCGGTTTCATGGTCTGCCTCCTGGTTCTTCTGCTGCTCCCCTGATGTTAAAGTTATCTTCTGAATCCAAGAGGAGGTTCGATGTACAGGGCTGTTGGGTTCTGCAGACTTCCTCCACTCCTGACTCTTACTGGTAATGAGATCCCTTCTGCTTCTCAGAGACCTCATTTTATACTCAGCTGGGTTGCATTGAAGGTAATCCTGGTCACAATCCTGTTAATATCTTCCTTTGCTTTCTTCCCAGATCTATGTAGGAAAAGGTCCTTTGGTGGGAGTTAGAGACTAGCTAGAAGAGCTCCATTAAATAATTCGCTGCTGCAGCAGCCGCTCTTTGTATGGATAGATTAAGTTGAAATACATTGAGATGACTACAGTAAAATTATTATTTGGTTTCCAAACTGTCAGGTGAAAGTTGGGGGCTAAATCAGGAGTGACTTATAAATAATCCTACTTCTGCAAATACGGAGGCGACGTTTCACGAAATCCCTATTTAGTCTTTGGGTGAGCATAATCTTTTAAAAACTGCCATGCACCTCTGCCCTGAACCTACTTCTGTTGTTTTGCTTCCTACTCACAGTGACCCTCTAAAGGGTTTCCAGGACTATTAATCTTTATCGGAGCAGGTATCATCTTTCTTCCATGGTTAGCAGCCTACAGCTCCGTGAGGGCTAGCGGTAGTTATAGCTAAATGTTTGAATAGATTTAATTTGTTTTAAGATATTTGATACATATTTCATAGTAATTTTCATATAATTCATTGTAGTGCTTACGAATCTTGTGTTACCTACTTTATTGTTTTATATATTGCCAAAGCATGTATCAATATTATTTATATTCTTGAAAGGAAAATCATTAAAAAGTTCTTTTATCAAGCTTTTATTTAGTAAGGTTGTACCTTTTGGTGTTTGTTGCCCTGAGTTCTGGATTGCTTTTGGATATGGGGTGCTTTTTTGCACAATGTAAAGTTTGTAGGGATTTCCAGACTGAAACTACTGGATTTTTTTTCAAAGCTGGGCGATATTTTAAAGCCAGCATTCTTAATATCCCAGCCCCAATCGACTTTAAGCATCTAGTGTTGCCCTCTCATTTTGAGATAAGGATGAGAGTTACCCTAACAGTTCTCATCTAGCAGAATTAGGACTACAGCTCCTTTTTATTTTTTTTTAAATCTAAGAAACAAACATGGATTTGCCCCTCTTCTGAGACTCCAGTAACCTCTGATGTCAAAATAGTATTTTCTCTTTTCAAAACTGTTTTTGGGGCATATGGCTTATTAATGCCCATACTTTTTAAAGAGTTTTATTGGCCATATTTCTTAACGGAAATAATTTTTACTCCGGTTTTAGAGGTATTACATGTTCATACAAAGAGTGAAGGTTTAGTTCTGTTCTATTAATTGACGACACAGATCCATAAGTCTTCATTCCTCTCCCCACTCCCAGTCCTCTGGTTTTAGAGGTATTACATGTTCATACAAAGAGTGAAGGTTTAGTTCTGTTCTATTAATTGACGACACAGATCCATAAGTCTTCATTCCTCTCCCCACTCCCAGTCCCTATCTACTTCTCCCCTGGAAGATTAGTAAGAACTTTAAATTGGATTACAAAAAAGACTGAAGTGACTAGTAGTTACTTTTTATTTATATTTATATATTTTTTTTGCGGGGGAGTCACTGATTTTAATATATTACTATTATATTGAGTAGGAAGTTTACAGTGTTTCTTTAGCATTTTTATGATTTATTATTTTTTTAATTAAATTCCAAGATCTTTTTACTTATATATATATATTTTTATTAAATTCCAAGATCTTTTTACTTATATTTTCCTTTAGTTTCCATGCTGTTCTAATAGGCCTACCTTGCTTTGTATTTGTTTGCATCATATTTCTTTATAAAAATGTACAACAGTATTTGACTAGTATCAACTTGAGCATTTTGGATTGGTTGTAACCATTACTGTACATATGCACAAATATACCCAGAAGTAGAATTACCAGGTCAAAGTATACATGCATTTCATGTTTAATGGGTTTTGTAAAATTGCTCCTATAGAGTTTTTACCAACCTCATAATATGAATATTGCCTTCTCAAAACAAAGTAGTTTGATTTTCACAGAGCCTTTGGAGGAAAATTGGTAATCCATTATAGTTTCAGTTTTTCTTCTTTATTTGAAGGAAGTAGAGCATCTCTTTAAACAATTAAGCACCGTTTATTTGTATTACCCCTTTGTGAACTGACTGTTCACCCCATATGTCTGTTTCTCTTTCAGATTATTGAGCTTTTCATACTGCTTATCTGTACTGTATCTTAAGTAGAAGCGTAAGATACGAATTATTCTTTAGCCTGAATGTTCTGATGGGTTAAGTAAATGTAGAAGAGGAAGAATAACACTGACAGTTTGTTACCATCACTTCCATATTTCCTTGGACCTAACAGCAATAAAAATAATGTTGAAGGCGCTGCTCTCAGATCTACCAGTCTCTCTCCCCCTCACCCCCCGGGTTTATCCTAAATGATTGCCATCTCATAGCTATCTATAGTCTATAATTCTATACATTAAAACTGGGACATTTTCTTCCTTCTCCTCCTTGGTGTGGTATCATAAAGAGGCACCAAAAGCCTGTGGCAATTATTTTGTGAAATATTTTCATTCTTCACTGATTTCTATAAATTTGCCTCTGGACTTGTTCCCCTTTTTCTGTGACTAAAATGCCCTAAAGTAATACATAGCCCATTTCACTTCTTTCTTATGGTCATTGACCCACTTGAAGATTCAGTTTTTGATACAGAACATGTTCCCTTATTATTTCACTCTCTGGTTCTGTCCATTAACAATTTGTCATCTATTCAAGGGATTGGCATGAGCAGGTTGTGGTTTTTTGTAAATAGTTTTATTGCAGTGTGGTCTGTGACATCTGGGGACAGTGCAAATAGTTATTGTGCCTGGCTACTAACTGTTAGTTCAAGTCCACCCAGATGTACCTTGGAAGAAAGGTAAGCCCATCTGGTGATCTGCTCTTGAAAGGTGACAGCTTTGAAAATGCTATGCATCACAGCTCTACTCTGACACACATGGGGTGACTATGAGTTGGGGTCAACTCAGCGGTGACTGGTTTGAAAGGTTGGCAGTTCCAGTTCACCGAGAGGTGTCTTAAAAGAATGACCCGATGTTGTACTTTTGGAAAGTCACAGTTTTGGAAACCCTATGTATTTTCAGCTAACGTGAACATAAAGATAGGAAATATGGTCTAAAAAAATCTAGGGGAAAAACAAACCAAACCCCAATCCCCATAAACTAACATTACATCCACTAGGAAATAGTAGTTTTGCTGACAAACCTTTTAAACTACTCACTATAATAGATCTATTCTTTACTACATGAGAATGGAGAAATCTTTGTGGGCTTACCACTCTTCCTCCCATTATTGGTTGGAACAGGCTCTTGAAGCTTTAAATAGCCTTGAAAATGAAAGGAGGGTGGAGGTTTCCTTCACATACAAAGAAATTCTCAAATATAAGTAGAGTAAGTTGCTTTTGTTGCTATTTTTTGTTGTCACTTATGTTCTCTTTACTGTCTCTGAAAATACTTATGGTTGGCAGGTAATTTGTTCTTTTCTTCTTTGTAACTTATTAATACTATAAAAACTGTAATTTGTTTGTTTCTTTTTATTTTTTAGTGGCTAGTAGAAGAGATGAAATGTGGTCTGGGTCTGATGGACGATATGACTATGAAAGACTTCCAAGAGAACGAGCAGCCCCTCGAAGTCATCCCAGTGTAAGTCTCATGTCTCAGTTGATCTGGTACATCAAAGCTAGTCTGTTAACAGATCTTACTTAAGCTGTCTAAAATGTACTGAGCTGTGTTGAAGGACAGATCAAGTCTGTCTTTTAAAAATTAAAAAACAAAAAATAAAAGGCAGTAAAAATTTTAAACACGATCTATATATTGTTTAATTTGTAAACTAGAGGCACTATATTGACTATAATTTGTGGGGCAAAGTGTAAGTTTGATAAAGGTCAGACAATCAGTTAACATTTTGAGTACCCCTTCTTGTATAGACTATACATATTTTTATATACTAGTGAAAATGTTCAAACATTGCATGCACAGAAAGCCTTAAAACAGGCTTTGATAAACTTCCCTAAGAGGTCAAGTATGTGCATACATCCTTTAGTTAGGATTCCTATAGGCATGCGTTTTTGTAAACAGACAACTGTGCCAATGAGTGAGAATGCCTGCCGACGGACTTAGGGCCAGGGAAACAGCTTCTACTGTGTAATCTTGCCACTTGTCTCTTAGTTGTTCTTGGAGTTGGGAATTTGGGGCCATTACTTTTCTCTTCTCAAGGAGTTTGCTCTTTTGCTTACTATTGTATTCTTAGCGCTATATATGTGGGGTACAAAAAAAACCACAATGGAATTCTTTTTCAGGGCTATATATTTAAAAATTTTTTTTTTTTTTTTGCAAAACAACTGTATCACCTTCAAAGTACTCTCCATTGCACTTAATACATTTGTCAAATCTGTGATTCCATTCTTTTTTCTTTTTTTTGTGAGAGAGTGAGGCAGTGAGTGAGTGAGACAGTGAGAGAGTGAGGCAGTGAGAAAGTGAGACAGTGAGTGAGTGATTCCATTCTTTGAAACATTTTCCAAACTCATCTGTTTGGATGGTGGACAACACCTCCCTTGTTTTTTTCTTTGCCTTTTCTACACATCAAATCACTGCCCTTTCATGTCCTTCTTCATTCAACGAAAACAAAAGGAAGTTGCACAGAGCGAGGTCAGGTGAGTAAGGTATGTGGGTCAAGAGAGACATGCTGTTTTTTTTGCCAAAAACTGACGCACTGAGATGGCTGCTTGAGCAGGTGCATTGTCGTGGTGGCACAGCCAGCCCCCCACCTGCCACAAATCAGACCTTTTTTGTCACACACTGTTAACAGTCTAACCCTAGTGGAATAAATTCCAAATGCATTATGAGTTGGAATTTTTGTCTATTAGGGAAGTTGACGGACATTTAGAACGAGGATTGTCATCAATTGACAGTTCACCTTTTTTGAAATGAGAAAACCACTTGTACACTTGAGTTCTCCCATAGTGCTGTCCTTGTGTTCACCATCACAACAGTTGAGCTGTGTTCAACATCACAACAGTTTCTGTGGCATTTTCCCCAAGCAGGAAACAAAATTGCACAGCCACACTGTTTTCTTAAAAATGGGCGGCCATCACCAAAAAACGATGTTTGAACAAAAATGCTTTTATGAAAAAAATTCACTGTGACAAGAGAACCTTCCAGGTAACGTCACTGGGTGCACCAATCCAGAGTGAGTTGCTGAATGTTCGCCTACTGGGAAAAACACATACTATGAAAGCTCCACTCTCCCCAGCGCAATTCCAGCTTTTTTGGGTACTCCCTTGTATATCTGTGTGTACTTGGTATATAGCAATTCAATCTTATTGAATTCCTCTCTGGAAGTAAAGGGAAGGCCAAGAAGTTGTCAACCACAAACTTTATATAAGCACCAATTTGGGGATGTGGTGTTGGTACAGGGATATATTATGGATTCTTTAAAGATCATCAGAGCTAACATGCATGTGTTTGCATTTGGTTGGTTTTTTACTTAATTAATAGTTATAACCCACTAAAATGAGTGGTGTCTTCTTCAGGGCATTTTCATTTGGCCTCAGTTATAACTTAGGTTAGCGTTGTTCCAAAAATGATTTAAGGTAAATCTGATCACAAAATGCATTGAAACTAGTTATTAAATGTATATGTAAATGAAGGGTCTATACAAACTTTCTAATCTTCTAAACAGTTCTCACAGAAGAATATGTAGCCTAATTATACTGACCATTGTTTCACCATTTATGGTCTTTATGACAATTAAACCTACTTTCCCCCGGCTACACCAAACTTTCTTATGAAAGCACACAAAAGATAATATTACAGTATTGGATAACTTCTGTACTCACGTATATTTTAAAGGGTAAATTTAATTTGGATAATTTGTGGAAAATGAGGGTTATTGGTTGATATTTTTAATAAGTCATAAATCTGTAAGATACGGTATCACTCAGCACTTAGCCAAGAAAAGGAAACTACTTTGTTTAAAGGAAAAACTTTAGGGCACTGAAAAGACTGAAGAAATGGAAGTGCTAATAAGTCAAATAGAGATGAGCAACAGTAGGATGTAGGAAGGGAGAGAGGGAAAGATAGTTTCACCAGAGCCCAGGGATCTGCAATTTCCAGTGAGAGCCTAAGGAGAGTTTTCTCAGTAGGTCTCACTTCACCAAGTCTCAGGGCTGTTAGATTGTATCCAAGCACCCCCCCCCTCCATTTTATTGGGGGCTTGTACAGCTCTTATCAGAATCCATACATACATCCACTGTTTCAAGCACATTGGTACATTTGTTGCCATTATCATTTTCAAAATAGTTTCTTTCTACTTGAAAGAAAAATCTTTCTTTTTCCTTGGTATCAGCGCATTTTCCCCTTCACTCTCTCCCACACCGTCTCTCCCTCATGAACACTTAATAACTTATAAATTATTTTTTCATGTCTTACACTGACTAATGTCTCCCTTCACCCACTTTTTTTTTGTCCCTCCCTTTAGGAAGGGCTTACATGTAGGTCATTGTGATCAGCTCCCCGTTTCTCCCCCTACCTTCCCCTTCCCCTCCTGGTATCTCTACTCTTATTATTGGTCCTTAGGGGTTTATCTGTCCTATGTTTCCAGCTCTTATCTGTGCCCATGTAAATGCTCTGGTCTAGTCAGATTTGTAAGGTACAATTGGGATCATGATAGTGGTGGGGGAGGAAGCATTAAAAAACTAGTGGAAAGTTGTATGTTTCTTTTTTTTCCTTTTTAAAAAAATTTTTTAAATATTTTATTAGGCTCATACAACTCTTATCACAATCCATACATACATCAATTGTGTAAAGCACATTTGTGTGTTCATTGCCCTCATCATTCCCAAAACATTTGCTCTCCACTTAAGGAAAGTCGTATGTTTAACCGGTGCTATACTACTCCCTGACTGGCTCATCTCTTGACCCCTGTGTAAGGGGATGTTTAGTTGTCTACAGATGGGCTTTGGTTCTCCACTCCACACTGCTCCTCATTCACATTGATAGGATTTTTTTTGTTCTGGGTCTTTGATGCCTTGTATCAAGCACATTTGTATATATTGCCATCACCATTTTCTAAACATTTGCTTTCTCTGTAAGACCTTTGTATTAGCTCCTCTTTTTTCACTCCTTCCCTCACCCTCTTACCCTTGTGAACCGTTGATAAATTATAAATTATTTTTATGCCTTACACTGACCGCTGTCTCCCTTCACTCACATTTGTTGTTGTTATCCTTTTGGGGGTGGGGGTGGTGATGTCGATCCTTGCAACCAGTTCTCCTTTTTCTCCCTCATCTTACCCCTACCTTCTTGGTATTGCTATTCCCATTTCTTTACCTGAGGAGTTTATCTGTCCTGGATTCTGTGTGTTGAGAGCTCTTGTGTGTATCAGTATATATGTTCTGGCCTGGCTGGATTTGTAAAGTAGAGCTCCCCACAAATGTTTTAATGCTCAGAAAGTAAAAATAATAGTGATTAGTTTTTCCCCATCAAATGAATAAAGTTTTTTTTAAAGTATTTATATATTTTATGGATATTAGATAGCTTGAGTTATAATGGGGATGTAGAATGGTGTATTATAGAACCAAGATGTTTTCAGAAGGTATAAAATGTGGGCAGTTTATATACAGAAATATCAATCAGAGAACAGTAGGAAATGTTCATGATGAAACCAAGGAAAAAAGATGTATAAAACCTTTATTAGACGGTTATCCATTATGTAGTATATTATTATACCGCAGAACATACTTGTACTGAAAGTTGTCTTAAACAGCTGCTAAGACTGGAAGCAAATGACTTCTCAGGAGGTGGATGGAGTCTTCCAATCAGGGGAATACTGTGGTTTACTGTAGAGGAGCATGTTTTAAGATGGGAATGATCCGTTATATCAGTGTCACAAGACCAAGACGAGCCCTCCAGAAGTCTCCTTAGGCCATTGTGGGTCTTTATTGTTTTTTGGAGGGTGTTTGGGCAGGCTTCTCTATTTGCAGAGGGAAGCGATTAAGCGCTACTAGTACATGTGCCACAGCGCATTGAGTTGCTAACCACAAGGCCAGTGATTCAAACTCACCAGGTTCTCCTTGGGAGCAAGAAGAGGCTCACTGCTCTTGTAAAGATTTACCATCTCGGGAAACCTACATGGGGTCTGTGATTCAGCATCTGCTTGATGGCAGTCAGAGTGGGTAACAAGTAGAGTTAGCTTGCCTTTTTTAAAAAAACATGCAGTTTATTTACCAGTATTGTGTGAAGGAACCTTTCCCTAGAAGAAGTTGAATTTGAGAGGAAAGTAACTGATGATGAAACAGGACTCCAGAGATTGGGTGTTTGTGGATCAACTTTAAAAAGAATGAGGGTGTGTTAGGCGAGTGGACTAGGGAAAAAATCCAGTGACATATATGTATAAGACAGAGCTTTATATCCAGAAGTAATTTCATATCAAGAAAACATCCATTCCAGTCTAACTCAAGTCCGATACTAGTCCGTAAGTCCCTCTTCTGACTCACGTGGTCACATGCAGTGATACAGAATGCAGTAAGATTGCACTCCGGTGAGTGCAAAGTCACATGGATCCATGATCCTGGACACGTGACAGGTCGTGGCAGCTCTCAGAATCAGCAAGCAGGAAGGTAAAGGCAGGTAGGGGGTCGGGGGGTGGTCCTGGGGTTCTTCCTTTTAAGAAGGCCATACCCACAAGGAGGCAGGCACCATTAGGCTGTGACTTGATTGACAGGTTTGCCTCCACCCCTACACTTTCATGTATCTTCAAGTTGATTTAAAATTAGCTAACCACCACTGCAGATTTTTTTTTTCCTTTAAAATTGGAGGACAAGGGCTGAGAATGGGTGCAGGTACGTTCGAGAATGGATTTGTAGAAATCTATGACTAACAGCCTTAGTTTTTCTCTGAAGAGGCATCAGGGTTCCTGTGTTAAGCAGGTAGAGGGAAACCTAGGACAGCAGTACAGTTTGGAGTAGCCTTGTTGGAATATCTCCTGACCAGAGATGTTTGAAAGACTAATACTGAGATGCAGTAAAACTGCATTGTAAATTTGGAAAGGATACCAGTCTGCAGAATGTTAGCTAAATATAACCTAGTTTGGGAGTGAAGAGGGCAGATTGCTTTGAGTGGATTATTTTAAGATGGCAAGTTGAGTGGGGAAGATAAGGATGTTAGAGGTTCGGTTTTATTTATTTTACAAGCTTTTATACTGTGTACATTAATATTAAGTTACATACAATGAAATGTAGACTATTAATTGGATATGTGTTTGAATTTCAGTTTGGTTAATGTCCCTTGTATGGAGCTGCACCAAGAAGCTGTTAGCTTTCTTTTGTCAGACATCCAGAGGAGATATGGTCAATTCTTTTATGACTTAGTTTTCTGAGGCAATTCCAATTTCAAATATTCTGACCGGTTGACTCCAAAAAGCATTTAAATGACTCACAAACAATAATGTTTCATTAAAAACCTATGAATTAATCACATTGTAATCGGTCATAAAACCAGAGAAAGGAAACACCGTATCTTTGAATACAAAAGTCTACCACCCTGTGTCTTAGAATTTTAGTTAAATGTGGTAACATTTTCAGTAAAAAGTATGTGATGACAAAAGCAGTGTAAAATTAAGATTCCAAGGTAGAGTATTTTGTATGCGTTGCTTGCTATGGGCCAAGTGTTGTTCCAGAGGCTGGACTAGAGCAGTGAATGATGTTTGTTGTCTGAATTAATGTTCTCCGTTTTACTTCTCTGTATTCTAATATCCATTGCAATGGCTACACAGAGCTCACATTAAATTCATGATTAGATGGATTATTAAGGATGTTAACAATTTATAATGCCAGTGAGCAATGCTCAGTCAAGATTGAGTGGTAACAAACTTCAGGTCTGCTAACACACTGCCCAGGGGGACACCCTCTGCTGTAAGCCCCAACCTAAAGGTATTTAGCTCAAGCTCTGTGGATCAGCAACCTCAGCTCCCTGAATTAAGTGCCCAGAGGCACCCCACTCCAGTAAGCCTCAACTCAAAGGCATTTTTGCTCCATTTCCTGGGTCTGCAAGTTCCCAGTTACTTCCCAGTTACTTTCCCAGAGGCAACTCACTCCACAAACCAGCCTTTTGCCCCCAAAGCACTCAGCTTTACTTGCTCCCTGGGTTGGCAATCCACCATCGTCTCTGTTCCAGCTCTGGTTCTGCTCTTCCTCCTCTGATGTTATAGCTGTCTTCTGGATCCAGGAGGTTCACTCTGTGCTTCTGGCTTGATATGATCTCTCCTTTTGCTTCTCAGAGGCCTCATTTTTATACACAGCAGGAAGGCACTCCAGGAAGTCAGTCCTGTTTGTAATTACTCACAGGTGAATTCTATCCTTATCTTCCCCTACTTTCTAACCCAGAAGTTCTCAACTGTGGGTCTCGACCCCTTTATTTTGGGCGGGGGGTGTCCAACCACTCTTTCACAGGGGATGCCTGATTCATAACAGTAGCAAACTTAGAGTTATGAAGTAGCGATGAAAATAATTTTGTGGTTGGGGGGTCACTACAACATGAGGAACTATATTAAAGGGCCGTGGCATTAGGAAGGTTGTGAACCACTGTTCTAACTAGACCCATGCCAGAGAAAGGTCGTTTGGTGGAAATTAGTTTGGCCAAAAGAGCCACATTTAGTACCATATATACACTGTGTATAAGCTGGGTTTTTCAGTACATTTTTAATGTAGTTTTTGTGGTAAAAGTAGGTGTCTAATTGGCTGATATTCGGGTTGGCTTATACTCGAGTATATACAGTAATTCACTGCCCTTGCAAATGAAACTGTCAGGGTGTCTGTTTATACTGTGAGGAGGCTTACTTTCCTTCTGCAAGGTGATTGACTGATAGGAACTGATGGCTTGGACTGCTTAATTTGAACCATCATACGTAGTTGCTTTGTGCTGTAGCTTAATGTGTTTGACTTTAATAATGGAAACATTTGGTTGTATATAAAAGTAGATAATGTAGTACTTATACTTGCTTTGTCTGTGTTTCCACCATTCTCTTTGCTCCAATTTTCTAGATTATTTTGAAGCAAATTCAAGATACCATATTTCAATGATAAATAAATATTTATGTATGTCTATTAAAATAAAGTCTCTTTATTTCTTTTTCAAAAAGAGCGGGAGAGGACTTTGTATTTTAAATAAACTATTTGAATGGTAAACAGGTGCCAAGAATATTTTAATGAGATATTGGAAAATGTTTTAAAAGAAACATTAATATCCAAGATTTGTACTTAGTTAATAGATTAAGCATTTAGGGTATAATAAGTGGCATAGATTTTTATATTGAGTCTAACATAACCATGACGTTTATATTTATATGTATATATGTGTGTATTTTGCTAATGTTTGTTATTAATGTCCTTGCTGAACCTTCCCCTACCCAAAAATCTCATTCTTACCAGATTTTGATTCGCCTGATCTTTCAACTCAGTTATAATGAAGACTCACCAACTGTATATTTATTATTATCACTGACCTTGCCCTTTCAGATTTCTTTGTGTTGCTCAAACTTGAAAGAATATTGAAAAGAAACACTGTTTGAGGCTCTTGGAGATGCAAACAGATGTTTTGAGATGTATATCATACAGCACAGAATTCTCCAGGAAAGGGTTAAAGAGATGGAAACACTGCCTTCAGGAGTGTGTAGACCAGGATGGAGAAAATGTCACCAAACAGTAGCTTTACATTTTGCTGTTTGTTGTTAACATTTTTTGTAGTTTTGTGGCAACTGTTTTACTTACCTTTGTATTCAATTAAAAAAAGAAAGTTCAATATATAATTAATTTTGATTCAAATTTTACCTCTTAGGAAAGTTTGCTATATACATTTTATAGTTCTAAAATAAATTTTTAATAAAAAGGTATTTAAACAACAAGGAACTGCTTTTTAAAATGTGTGGTTGCTATTCATAAAAGTGTTTTGGCAAATATACTCCTCCCACTGTCACTACAGATCTGATAGACAAAAAAACAAGGATAATTCAAGGTGCAGTTTCATGGCTTCTTGGCATTGGAGAAATCAGTGATTCTAAAGTTATGAATAAACAAACAAAAAACCCCAAATCCACTGCCATAGAGTTGATTCTGACTCAGCAATTCTAGAGGGTTTTCAAAGCTGTAGATTTTTAGGGAACAGATAATCTTATCTTTCTCCCTTAGATCAGCTGTTGGGTTTGAACCATCAACCTGGCAGTTAGCAGTTAGCAAACAGCATTGTCAGGGCTCCTTTGGGTATGATAGCCAATGTACATATATAAAATATATTTTGCATTTCAATATCTTAACATACTCAAGAAGGAATTATTTTTCATAGACTTGCGAAGTTAGTAATCAAAATAGACAATTTTTTTGAGCACAAGTATAGAAGATGTGCTAAGCACTCTATATTCCACATTTAATCCTTTAACAATCCTCAAACCCATTTCCATCAAGTAGGTTCCAGCTCTTATTGGACAGTTATACTGTACGGAGGGCTCCCAAGGCTGTACTCTTATGGAAGCATATTGCCACATCTTCCTTTTGTGAGTGGGTTCTAACTATGAACTTTCAGTTGGCCACCAACTCCATAACTACACTGTGCCACTATGACTCCTCCTAACCAACCTCCTGAGACAGCATAGCATTTGTCTAGTCAAATTTTCAAATAAGGAAAATAAAGCTTTTAAGGAATGCTAGGTTTTATATATTCTTTTTGGTGAAATCTGTTTAAATCATAATAACATGTCTTAAACCGTGATAGCTTTGCACTTCAGCTCTCTTTCACATATGTCTCATAGAGAGAGTGGTTTCTAACCCAGGACAAGTATTCCTTGTCCTATTTTCCAACCTTATAAGAAACCCACCCACTTCTAAAACATTAGCAATATCTGCTTTGAAAAGTTCGTTCAGATTTCATATTGGGTCTACTTTGTTTTAAATTGTAAAAGCAAAACGCTTTTCTTCAAAATATTACCTTTTGCTCTTTCTAGTTCAGTATCGTCTCCTTGTTTAGCTGTGGGCTTACATGTAAAAATTTTGTATTTCTTTTGAACATACGGTTCAAGCCTAGGTAGACCAAGATGTGCCGTATTTTAAATCTTGGGTTTTATTTCTAAACTCTCTAGACAGATTAGAGTGAATGTAGCATTTTTGTTGTCTGTAGTTTATTAAAATGATAAAAACATTTTTATTTTACTTTTGATTTATTTTTAGAATGCTACATGTTATTTGAACACCTGACTTTTTCATTGAACAATTTTATTTTCTTTAATCCATTTGAAGATCTTGCTAATACTTAGTCATATTTCATTTATAAATTTTTGGTTAATACATCTACCCTATTTTATTAAGGATAAGAATGCCTGTGCTTTTTGAAAACCATTTTACAACAGAATAGAGAAATCAGTGATTTTTATGCATTTCTTTTTGTCTGTTTTAGGATGGCTACCATAGAGTAGTTAATATTGTGCCAAAGAAACCACCACTGCTAGAAACACCTGGTGAAGGAAGCTACAATAGATATTACAGTCATGTTGATTACCAAGCATATGACGAGGGCCGCAGTTTTTCTCATGATCGAAGAAGTGGTCCATCTCACAGAGGAGTATGTAAACTTCCCCCATTGATATTAATCGTTATTTCTTATAAGTTAAAGTTCATGTAATTTTTAAAATTTTATGTGACTAGCCTTGGAAACAGCTGCATTAACCACTTCCTTTTTTGATGCTCTGATGAATTGTCTGTTGGGACTCTGAATTGAGAACTGGTAGGCAGGAATCTTGGGTTGCTGGACAAAGTGAGTAAACAGCCTGTAGCTGTAGTTTTTTTGACATTACTTCCAACTAGCAGCTTGCTTTTTAAAAAAAAAAAAATCTACATTGCCAGAATTTTGCAGAAACGATAAAAGCTATCTGTTGTCTTGGTGAACTTATTACTAAATGATGATGATGATTATTGTCTTTTACTGGATATTCCCACTTATAATTACTTTTTGCATTTTGTCACAAAGTAAACATTTAAAAATATTAGCAGCTATTATGACTGTTGCTTTTATACTCTGTTTCTCTTTATCATCATTACTAATCTAGTATATATTTAATGTTCTGTCAGCGAACATGATTGGAATTGTTCCTTGATGCAGTTTAGCCCTGCATGTTTGCATTTATCTGCCAGACTTGTTCATTTTCCCTCTTTCATACCATGTAATATTGTAATTAGCAGTACTTTTTAAATATTGTTTATAATTTAATTTGACCTTATTTTGAGACTTGGTATTAAATTTCATACTTTACATTTGAAGAAACGAAGGTCGAGTGATTTGCTCAGTGTATGTGTATGTGAGAGTCCAGTCCTCTCTTTTGCACCATAGTAACCCTGGACAATTCCAAAGTAGTAAGATTATTCAGTGTTTGGATTAAAAAATATTTTTTAAATATATACTCCTAAAGTTTGGGGTCTTGGAGAAACAGGGTAAGACTATCTGCTGCCACGAAGAGAGACAGTCTCAGGAACTAGAGCAATTCTACTCTGTCTGGCAGAGCTACTGTGCATTGGAATCAGCCTGACAGCCGTGGGAAGTTACAACTCCTTCAACTTTTCATAGAATTAATTTTTTATGTTGCTCAATTTTAAATGTCATTTGTTCCTTTAGAAAAAGAAGCAATAGTGCAAATGTAAACATTTGTTATCTCTATGCTAGAAACACTAGATTTTGCCTTGAGTGACATTTCCATAAACAGATGTTATCCCTCTTATCAAAACCCTGCAGCCATTTAGTTTGGACAGGGAATTCTGGGTTCAGGACCAATTTTCACATGCATCCTCATGAACATAATTTGTGTATGTGCACTAAACATTTAAAGCAAAGCATTGTCTTCATATTGATTTATTATTGGTGCAAGTTGTATTTGTCTTAATACTCTACACAGAATTTTCTCTTAGTTCTCTTAAAGCAAATACATTTGTAACCCTATTCTCATGACACTAATTCATAGAGTTCAGGTATGTAAAACAAATTTCTTTCATACTTGATACAACTTTTCATTATAGCTGTTGAATTTTTTGGTTTTCTTTATATGTAATGTTGAAAAGGAAATTGATCAGCACAATTATGTCAGAGCAGGGTATGTGTTGCTGCAGTGAAGATAAGATGATCTATTTTAGCTGAATCAGTGTTTCTGATTGTAAGTAATTAGCATAAATATTTTTATAAGCTTTTACTTTTTTTATGATGGGCTATAATGTCTCCACATTGTCTCTAATTTTAGATCTTGCTTCTTTTTTTT